CGAATCGCCGGACAACGACAAGGAAAGTTCGAGCAACGGCAGCGACTCCGGTAAGAAGCGCAAAAGGAGGGTGCTCTTTTCCAAGGCACAAACTTACGAACTCGAGCGCCGGTTTAGGCAACAGAGGTATCTGTCAGCACCGGAGAGGGAGCATCTCGCCAGCTTGATCCGCCTGACTCCAACCCAAGTGAAAATCTGGTTCCAGAACCATCGATACAAAATGAAGAGAGCCAGGGCGGAGAAAGGTATGGAAGTGACCCATCTCCCTTCTCCTAGGCGGGTGGCCGTGCCTGTGTTAGTCAGAGATGGCAAGCCCTGCCATACGCTAAAAGCTCAGGACTTGGCAGCTACTTTTCAGGCTGGAATTCCGTTCTCCGCGTATAGCGCCCAGTCTCTCCAGCACATGCAATATAACGCGCATTACAGCGCCGCCACCACACCACACTTCCCAACAGCACATCACTTGGTGCAAACGCAACAGTGGGCTTGGTGAACAAATACTGACTTGCAAATGCAGGGCTGCATTTTAAAGACCGTGGTAGGGAGCTTTCCAAACAAAAAATACAAGACTTTTTATTTTTGCAGCTTGACCCTTTCTCACCCATTTATTTTGGGGATTGACGTGTGCGCCATGTTTACATGTTTTCGTTCAGAAAACCGGGTCAAGCCTCTCCCCAAATTTAAGAATGTTAAAGCTCTTGTGAAATTTTGTAAAGTATGTTTGTGTGTTGTAGAAATGTTTTCCTTTTGTCCTTCGTGTTATAAGCACGTGCAAAACCACTTTATGATTATAGAAAATTGTATTTCTTTCTTTTACAATGGACCGAATATATTTATGGCCATGAATAAACATTGGCAATCTTTAGCTTATTACATTGGTTTGTTTTCTATGTAAATATTTTGTGATAACTGTTTGCAATATTATGTTTGACCGTCCAGTAAGCTATATTTAGGGAAAATGGAAAATCAGTTGTCGATAAATATCCCTCATGTTAATTTCAGTAACACCGCGCGCTGGCGAGGGAGGTCTGCAATTCTTTTTATCAAGACTTTTAATAAAATGATGTGTTTCAGAAATTCCGATTTGTTTTGCGTTTGGTCTCAGTGATTTCGGACACATTTGTGCAAAATATGGATCGTTTCTTCGCCATCTCCCATTAATACAAATACTTCATAATAAACTAATAGAACGAATAAATACAAATGATATAAATATGCTAATTTATAAAGCCTTTGTGTTTGCACAAATGTTGCTTTGGACAGCTTGTCGCTCTCCCCGTCACGTCATCAGCAACACAATTGGCTTCATTTTTCCGAATTTATCTGTACGAACACTTCAGCAATAAGAAGGCTAAAGTCACTTGTGAAATGGGGGTAAAAATCCACTCACTTAATATAAGAGGGCTTCTTCAGCTAAGCAGCTTTTCATTCAAACGCTCTCTCCTTTTCAGGCTCCGCGGCTGACATTTCGGGTGTTAAAACGGCACATTTAGAGAAAACACACGTGACAAAGTTTTGTTAGCTTAATATTATGTAATTGTACTATTTACAATGCAATTATAGAATATTTTATTGGCAACTAAACAAATTGTGTTGTTACGCTTTGCCACGCTGTGTAGGCTATCAAAGAAGTTATTTGCTTGAATTGATATGCACCGCGGCCGCATACGAGTCAGAATTTTTCATTTATTATTATTATAATTGTTTATTTTTTTTACACATCGGATGTCAGCTAAGAAATAAAAGTCAAAATTACTATGTGTGTTTTTTTTTGTTTTTTTTTTAAATAGGCAAGAACAACAGCTCTCTTTAGTTCCTTTCCCGGTGAGGATGATCGTATATTAGTGTCTTGGGTCAATACCATGGCTCAGTGCAAAATCCGAAATGGTTGTTTTTTCAAATATATTTTACAGCAGATGCGAGGGTAAACTTGGCTTTCATTAAATAGAAACGCTGTGCTAATTATTTACAGAATTAATCTTAAGCGACTCGATCATTTCCCCTTATGCTTTCTACAGTTGGTTTGATTGTGACTTTTTGATATTTTGTTTTATTTATTAATTTATGTTTTTAACGAATTCCATATAATATTTGACTAATATTTTCGATAGTTCTTGCAAAACCGCTATTGTTTGGTAAGGAGAAGGCGGTGGGAAAATGACAGAATTGTACTTGCACCTGTTGTCGACTATAAGAAGTAATTTGTGACGGTATATTTACCGCTTCTTCAGTGTACCATTTCAGAGAAAGACAAAAAAAACGTTTCCAAAGTTTTACCACTGCTTTTTTCTTTCCGATTAGTTTTCCGTCTGTGATTGTGCAGCAAAACTGCGCTCAGAAGAAAAAGGGAAAAAAAAAAAATCGTGGCCACAGTTGCGTTGGACTGATGGTCAACAATGTGGCGAAGCACTTTTGAGCAGTCTATAGTAGCACAATATACAGTACATGACACAAAACCTAACAAAGCGTAGGGTCGGTTGTAGTGAATGTTAGAGGCGTGCATATTAACAGGGGGAGTGTATCTCCGGGTGGAGAGAGGGAGAAAGACAGTCCGCATTTCTTGGTGCTATTCAGGTCCTTTATCTGGACCAGTGCATCCCTGAGTCAGGGAGATATATCCTTGTTTTTTTTGTTGTTTTTTTTTGTAGCGCCTGTCAGTTGGTGCCATTGTGGTGCTTGTTGTACACGTTCTATTCCATATGGACAGCTGGGCCCGCAAGAGGAGAAAGGAATCTCTCACAAAACCCAAATTGTGTCCCGCTTTCAAACGCAGCATTGTTGTCTCTCAAAGAAAAACGAATTAAAAATTCGTGCTATATCTATTCTGGAAAAGAAGGCAAACCCATTCACAGATAACAGGGAGTCCTTCTTCCTTGATATAGCAGTGCTAACAACAGTTCTCTCATTCCTTTAACCCTCTCATAAACTCCCCCTTTTCTTGACGTTGAAAGGGAATGATTATTGTCTGTTCTGCAAAGTCTGTAGCGTTACAACTTCAACACTATTTAATAGATACTTTCTTATTTCCTGTCCCGCATAAGTGAAAGGCCCTACGTGTTGATTCTTTCTCTGCGAATGGAAATGTCCAATTATTATTTATAAATGCTAAACGTGCATTTAATAATGCAGATGCGACCTGGTAGGCCTATCTATCCATCTATCTATCTTTCTATCTATCGCAAAATAGGCAACATGCGATGCGGCAATTGGCAAATTGAAGCCTATAGGCTATAGGCATTATATATATATATATATATATACTAAATTGAATTACAGATTTTTTCTTTCATTTTTTTTTTTAACTAAAAGGATAAACCATTCACCAAATATCCCGCGTATAACAAAAATAAAGATTCCATGAAATTTCCTGAGGACACGACATCTGCCTTAGGTGGTAAATAAAACACTTTCTGTGTAAAAAATAAATATTGAAGCATTGTAGGATATTATCTGGACTTAGTCTCGGTTGAGGAGTAGCTATTTTAGCGAAAATACCAAAAGTAAGGGAGTCGCAAACGCTCATAAAACGATTTTGAATGTATGCTGAAGTTAACGCGTGGCTAATAACCCTTTCACGCCTCCAAATGGGATATTTCAGGGAGTGTGCACTTTGGGTGTCCATGGATCCAGATAACTGTTCCCATTTTTTTTTACTTCAACATGAATCATTTCTTATCATCCATATCTCCAAATGAGGATTCTCAACGCCTTAATAAGCAGGACTAACATTTGAAGGAAGTAATTTGGTATTTTATTGCCAATAGAAGATACAGATTAGATTCAACCACCATCTCAAATGTGTTACAGAATTAGTGCATTTTCAATGTGATAAGGACCAAATCACATAGCACCAATATACTTGCCACAAGATGGCGACAGAGCCCGTTGAAAGGATCAGTAACGTTGTTCACTTCGTAGGACCAGTTTAAGAAGAGTCAAGTTAACTTCATGCTGCAAATGTCGATAATAGCATCGATACAACAACAATAAAACACCCTAAACGGTAGGTAGTAGGTCTATTATTGAAGTTTAATAATAGAGTTAAAACTGAATGCTGTGTTTAAGCGAGGTGTTTTAGATGCCATGATGAATTTTGTGGTGTTTACGACATGATCCGCAGAGAGGCGCAATTGGTCCACACAACCCAAAACCTTAGCATCACAGCCCGCATAATACAGAACACAGATATGGAAGTGGATAAGTGTTATCAGTGTCCTTGATGTTATTATTTTGTCATCAAACGTTGCCTTCTCGGAACATTTCAACCGATAAATTATATATTACGGTATTTTAACATACAATTTGCTGATTATGCATGACCACTAAATTATTACTTCCACTCTTACTTCCCAGAGTCCATACTTAAGCACCCTCATAATAACAATAAGCTAAATAATAATAATAATGATATGTATATATATATATATATATTTCTAAATGTTTCAAACTGCAAGAACTGGATCACATGTATTATGCACTTTTTTTGCTAGTAGCCAAAAGCTGGATTTATGTCATAACATTTTTTAAAAATGTAAGTCACCGCAAACTGTACCGTTTGAATGCATCAGTGACAGAAACAATAGTGTAAAAACATTGTTTTCTTTATTCTTTTATTTATGCATTTGTTTATTGTAATTGCCAATTTAATATACTTGATAGCAATTATTTTTTTCTTTAATTTATTTATATAATTATGTTTAAATCCCTTTCATTAAATACACAGCCAATCAGATTGAAAAATTACCTTACCTCTTCTTACTGAATCATTACCAAACACTTGTTGCCCACAACACTTTTTTAAGTTGCTTTTTTGTTTACCCATATAGTTTCCCATAACAATGGACATAAATAATAAAGAAAGAAAAAAAAAAGGAAAAATAAAGTTGAGCTCACACTTACTTCATAGAAGTCATGATCAGCATTAGGTTTGTTTTTTACAAGCATAACTGCAATGCACTGGGTATTATTTTTCTTCAGTATATGACCTAATTGTTTTGAGTTATGGGAAATCAAAAATATGATTGTAAATCCAGGTTTTCAGTGGATTTGCAGACAGAAAAAGTTAAAAATGTAGTCCATTCGACCAAGCAAGCCATTTGAATTTGTTTATGTAAACTACAAAGGCTTCAATATGTTTCAAATGAAAGGTTATTTGACTGACTGGTTTAAAAGAGTTTTATTTTTATTTCAAACGATGGCAAAATTAAATGAGTAATTCCCTTTAGGTTTCTTCCCCCTCACATTATAGCATGATAGTTAAAACAAAATTACGGTAAAGTATGGCTAAGCCAATGCATCCCATAATGGTGCAAAAACAATACAAATTGTATGATGTTGAATGAGCTAAGTGAATGTGTTAATATTGAAAATAAATACACTTTTTTGTAAAAAAATGTTTTAGTCATTTAGCAGACACTTTTATCCAAAGCGACTTACAAATAAGAAAAAGTAATTAAAACTAAAAGCTAAAACTCTATAAATACTATATATATACACATTTAAGAAAATAAAAGAAATTAAATAAAAATGACAAATGCATACAACATTTCAAAACTAAACATTTAAATGAAAACAAAAAAATAAAGCTAAAAACAATTCAAAATATTAAAAGAACAAAAGGTATGAGTATAATAATGATTCTAACATAACACTAAGCCAAACACCAAAAAACAACTACATATGTGTATGTACTGCCACACACATATACATATACATGTACATATATATAAATACATTAAATATATATATATATTATTTCATTTCCATTTTGTATGTTGAAGTACTGAAATAACTCAATAAAAAGCCTATATAGACATAATAAAAAAAATTATAAAATGACAACATGACTACAACTGTATCTAAAACTAAAATAGATAACTAATACAAATCAAAGTACATTAGTTCATCAGTAATCCTAAAAAAATAACACTGAGGCAAACACACATGCTAAAATAACAACAACTTACTGACACATAGTAAGAAATAGTTTATAAAAACTTATAAAAAAAACTTCATTTTGCAA